CAGCATTCTCTAAAAAAATTCTTTGTAAAAAAGTTATGTTCATGAGACAAAAAAGTAACACAACACATGAACTTGTCAGTGATATGTGCCACAAAGATTTCGACTCAAAGAAAATTGTTTTAACACCAAAACAGAGAATCATATTTTGAAACTGAATGGTGGTTGTTGTACTAGAAGCCACTTTGTATGTAATTATAAATTTCCTGAAAAAGATCAATGAAGATACATGACCATTGAATCGTCACTCAATTATATAAATTTCAAAACTTTCAAGTTGATAGCAGAGGAAAAGAGTTTGTGTAACAAACCTCGGAATAGTCCAAAGGTCTCTCAATAGGGCCAAATGGATGGTAAGGTCTCTCAATAGGGTCTAACGGATTGCGCGCAGTTTCATCTTTTTGATTATTGTTTCTGGAAGGACCCCAAAGTTTGTAATTCTTGAAGTTTTGATTCACTGTCTCAGAATAATATCTTCCAAAATTCTATAACCAAAAGACAAGTAAGATTAGCTTTTAGATGGTTAGTCAAGTAACATCATGTAATCAAATGCAGATATGTAACAAAGAGAGAATAAGATTTACCGGTGGTACTATGGTAAAAAAGCTTTGAGATGGGTTTGTTGGAGTAAGCATTGCCTCAGAGGCATTGTTTGTAGGAGCTTGATTAAGTAAACCATAGTTAGGCAAAGACCGAGGATCGTAGTAATTTGAACCGGGAAATTGTGGTTGAGCAAACGGATATGAACCGGGAAACTGTGGTTGAGCAAGCGGATTTGAAGCAATGAGTGATCTATCATTGACTGATCCATTAACCGAGGAAGCCTCAGAATCCGTAGTAGCTTGCGGTTTTTCGATGTTTTCATTGGAGATTAGTGGAACTTTCTGATGTATCTTAGCTCCTTTTGGTGAAACACCGTAACCGTAACGCGTAGAAGAAGGCTGAACTAGTATTTTCTGCAAAATCAATGACACAAAGAGAACAAGAAAGTTTGAGTTTTTAGCCAAGAAAGTCATCAAATCAGGGTGAATAATCATGTTTCTGTCTCAAATTTTGAACTTTTAAATANANACAAAAAAAAAAAACGAACCTTTAGATAAATTCCGTTGAAAACAATGTATTCGAAAACTTGATTAGAAGGCATAACATAAAATCCGTTACTGCCTCTTCCTTCAGTACCATAACATCTAACTGC